GGCTGCCTTGTTGGGCTTCGCCGCGCGGTGGGTGGTGTCATCTCCGCCCACGGCGGCCCCGACCGCGGAGACCCACATGGCAACCCCCTCGACCAGCTCCCGTGCCGACTGCAAGCGTTGGCGGGCCTCAGGCGCGACTCTGGCGCGCTCGGCCGCTCGCTTCGCGGCCTGGTCAGCGATGCGGTTGCCGATCCAGTCGCGAGCGGTGATGATGCCGTCGTCAACCACACGGCGGCTCGGGACGTGCGCAGGAACTTTCTTGAGGGTCAGGCCCTGCGGGCCTATCCCCCCGAAGTCCTCGACGAGCCTCCAGAGCTCACGCCAAAGGCGGGCCCACGCGTAGCCCCAGCGCGTCGTGTTCAGCGGCCCGTGCTCCATCACACCCTTGAACACGAAGTTCGAGTCGACGATGGCCCTGACGGGCGGCACGGCGTGGCGCAACGTGCCGATGAGCGCAGCCACCTCACCACCGTTGATGTCGGCGAAGGGCTCGCACAGCATGCCCGAGATGCCCGTGCGGAAGGCGTCTGCGCCCTCCTGCAGCACCACCGCAGCCCAGCCAACGCTCGTGCACTGCTGGAAGTCGCTCTCGTAGGCGGACCCGTCCAGGTATACGTCGCCAGGCGGCAGAACGCCGCCAACGTCTTGTCCCAGCCAGCTGACCCCAGGAGGCCGAGGCGGCTTGATGATGCCGCGGGGCGCAGGCCACAGCACGCGCTCCAGCAGGCACTCCACCTCCTCGAGCACGGCCTTGCTCGCCAGCTCGCGGATCTTGCTGGGCAACCTCAATTCAGGCGGCCATCCACTGCAGCACGTGTGCCTATGCAGCAGCGTGCCGACGTCGCCGCACAGCGAGCACTTGTCGTCCGCGGCGTAGCCATTCAGGTACTTGCGGCGCTGAGGCCACTGGCCGTCCACTATCACCGAGGCGAGGTAGCCGCACCCCTTGGGCGCGAGTCGGATCGCCTTTGCCTTCTGAGCGGGCGTCGCGCTCCAGGCATTGGGCGTGGGTCCCGTAGCTCCTCGAGGCGCGCCACTCGGGGGAGCGGCGTCATTAAGGGCAGCGTCCGCCAGCCCACCCTGAAGAGCCGTCGACACACCTTGCCGTGGAGGCGCGACGCTTGGGCAGGCTCCAGCTCCAACGTCGCCAGCAGGCAGCCCAGGTCCGAACGGTGCTCTGCCCTCTGGGCCTGGCCGCGGCGTGGGGCCAGGCGCCACCCGGCCGAGCAGGTCGTTGATGAGGTCACCCCATCCATCTCCAGCTTCAGCACGCGCAGCTTGCAGATTAGCGGCGCTGGCCGCCACCGCTAGGTAGCCCGTCCCCAGCACGCAGGCCATAGCTGGATCAGCAGAGCCAGCCTCCACATCATTGCCCAAAGGCAGCTCCGCCACCTCAGGAGGCACAGCAGGTCGAACGACAGGCCGAGGAGTGGCGGCAGCAGCGTCACCGTCAACGTAGTGCACCTGTTTGCCGAAAAAGCCTTTGCGCTGTACTGCCCCCGCGCTGGTGAGCCTGACGATGGGTTCCAGGATGCCACCATCAGCCAGGTGGGCAAGACCAGGCCGCTGCCCAACCTGTCGCCACTGCCACGCCTCCACCGCCATCCAGAGTAGGCGCTTGATGATCCAGGGTGAAGTCTCGAAGATGCAGATGCTGTCGCCGCAGCGCGTGAGCCAGGTGCTGCCGTCGACGATCTGCTACCCAACGCGCTCGAGGGAGAGCCTGACTGCGGAGAAGGGCCCCTTCACCCGGCACCAACTAGTAGCCGCGCACTGGGCCAGGCCGCACTTGATCACGTGCTTTGGAACCCAGCACTCCCATACCGCACGCAGCATCGCCATGATAGGGGACAGCGTCGCGCGATAGATGGGGCCGAGGAAAGGCGTGATCATGAGCGCAAGGGTCCGCGAGCGCCCCGCCACGCTCGGCGCCACGGCCGTGAAGATGAGCGCGCGCAACTTGTCGAGCTCCGTGGCGGCGCAGCCCGTAACGGAGAAGCCGTGGGATACGGACGCTTCGAGCCCGCTGCGCGCCACCTTGCGGACTGCCAGCTTGCGCCCGACACCAGTCTTCAAGAGGGCAACGCGCCTGATCCTCAAGCCAGCAAGCACCATCTTGCCGCCTCGGACTTTCCTCGCCACCCTGCGGCCGCACGAGAAATCTACACCAAGATTGCGCTCGCTCTTGACCGACATCATGCCGAGCGGCCGCTTGAGCTTCGCAGCAACGGCGCGCCTGACGTCGGGAACGTTGGCGAGCACGCGGGACTTGGAGAGCGCCACGTTGAGGTCGACCCCCGTCAGCAGCATCTTGAGCTTGAATGCCGCCTCCGCAACCTCCTTCGTGACGCGCACGGCGCCGCCGAGTCTGTGCAGCATGAGGTCGCCCACGGCGACAGCCAGCTGCAACGTCGGGTGCTGCTCGACCAGCTTGTCCAGCGGCCCAACCAAGATCAGCTTGAGTAGGGTGGCGGCGAAGCCGTCGCCAGGCAAGATCGCCTGCCGAGCCTCGATCACGTCGGAGTGCGCGCTGCCCAAGGCGAGCACCCTAGGCGCGCAGTACAGCTCCACCTGAAGCTTGAGCTGCCACAGCGGGAAGCCCGTTCGCACCGCGGCGTCGAGCAGCCAGTGATGCCTGGCCTGCTCGAAGGCCTTCAGCAGGTCGAGCAGGACGGCCGCGGCCACCCAGCGCTTCTCGTCGCCGCAGTCCTGGCCACGCTGCGTGGCCCACTCGCCGAGAGCTGCCTGGTGCCAGACCGCTCGCTCGCAGCTGCGTCCCGCCGAGGCCCACCAGTAGCTGCGAGCGTGCTGCACCTCCCACTTGCGTGCGATGTCCCGCCGCAGGCGGGCTTGCACGCGGGCCAGCACCATGATCAGCGCGATCGGTCTAACACCACCGAGCCTCTTCTGAATGAAGCAGACCTTGGTGGTCATCTCGGGCCATGAAGCGTGGAGCTCAATGGCCTCGATGATGCCGGCGAGGACCTCGACGCCTTCGTCGCAGAGGTCGTTGAGCTGCCTGGGCCGCACCGCGCAGAAAGAGGTGCCCGTGTTGGCGGGGAAGGTCAGGGGCACCGTCCGCAGCTGCACGACGGTCGGCCGAGGCGGCCGCGCGCCGAGGTCCTTCGGCCACCGCAGCGCCACTTGCTCGCAACTTGTCCTCCACCAGCTGATCCAGGCAACCTCCAGGGCGGTGACCTCCGCGGCGAGGTCGGCGGGCTCACAGAAGACCGCGTGCGTCTCCTCGGCACTGGCGCGCAGCATGGGGCTCTCTGCGAATCCGATCGGCAGCCTGGCAACCGCGTGGAGCCCGCCGCCACCGCCACAGGCTTGCTTGGCGATCCACCGCTGGAACCTGACCTTGCGCTCCGACATGTCCCGCTCGGCCAGCTTCACGGCAGCAACGCGGGCGCGCTCGCTCAGCTGCAGGACCGCGGTGGATGGATCCAGGCAGTGAGCGCCCAAGCTGTTGAGGAGCTGCCACCAAGCGCTCGCGACAGGCAGGTCGTGAGGCTCAGCCTCCGCGACAGCCTTCACGGCCTTGGGCGCAGTCACCATCAGCTTGTGCAGACCTTGAAGCGCACGGACACGACTGGCGGGCTGCGCGACGGCGGCGACAAGTTGCAGCTCGCACGACACCCTGTAGAGCCAGGTGGCCTCAACCGAGACATTGGGCCAGCGTGCGCCAGCTACAGGCAGCTTGCGGACCCAGCGCGGCTGCACTGGCTGACCTCGCCCTCGATGGGCGTCCTCGCCCACCTGGTATATGTCAATCCAGTCGGTCTCAGCCTGCTGCAGGAAACGCTGCCAGGCGACGTTGATCTGGTCGCGTAGCTGCGTCAGCTGTCCGTCGGTGCAGGCCGCCCGCGACACATGGCCTTCGGCAGCAGCAGCCCCTGAACCTCGCTCACACTCCCGACTCCGAGTGGCGCGCTCTCCGCCTGCAGGTTGTCCTTGCAGGGGCACACGAAGTTCAGACCCACCACCGCGTACAGGTCCATGTGCGCTCGCACCATCGGCAGCAGGCGTGGGTCCCGTAGCTCCTCGAGGCGCGCCACTCGGGGGAGCAGCGCCATTAAGGGCAGCATCCGCAAGCCCACCCTGAGGAGCCGTCGACACACCTTGCCGAGGCGCAGAGCGCAGAAGCCGCCGTACCTCCACGCCGACGCTGACCCACGGCACGCGGTAGTCCCACCGCGCACAACCAGCAGGCCGCTGCTGCGGGAAGCTCTTGGGCACATCCATCACACGGATGTAGGGCCTCTGGCGCGTCGCCTCGAGCTCCAGGACCACAGGCCGATGAGGCCACACAGGCGATCCGCTGATCACCTCCACGCTGAGCAGCCGCAGGCCCCTCGACACGATAAACATGTCGATGGAGCGCATCGACTGCACGCAGGTCGGCTCGAGCGTGTCCACGCAGGTGCCGTCGAAGAACCGCAGCACTCCGCTCTTCTCCAGCTCGGCCTTGGTACAGTTGAAGTCGCCGCCGATCACGCACGGCCTGCCGTACTGCTTCAGCCTGCACGCCAAGTCGCGCAGCGCCTCGTAGTTGAATGCGTTCACCCCCACACCGCTCTCCAAGTACACGTTTCCCACAACGACTCCCCCAGGAGTCAGCCCCGCGTGGTGAAGCAGCTGTACCCGCCCAGGTCGAACGACTGGAGTCCCGTAGCCCATCATGGGCGCCAATCCGTGCTCAAGGCGCGAGCACGTGAGGAGCCCGCCAGACGCCAGGCCCCCCGCCGGAGACGCTTGGGCCTCAACGCCCGCGGCGCGCCATCCCCGACGACGAAGCTCACCTTCAGCATCCGTCGTGCGCGCCCCGCTGAGGCGGGTCTCCTGGAAGAGCAGAACATTGCACCCACTGATCTGCTCCGTGAGGCACTTGTCAAGGTTGTTGAAGGCGTTCATGTTGAGCGTCGCCAGCCGCCACCTGCTACCCCAGCTTCGGCTTCTTGTCGGCGCAGCAGCGGACGCGGAAGGCTTCGAGCCACTTCCTCTTCTCAGCGTCGCCGTCGCAGAAAGCTTCGGCCTGCGCCGCGAAGTCCTCAGGGGATAGGTTGCGGCCATCCATGTCCTCGTCGTCATCGCCCACCGCCGCGTGCACACCGCCCAGATCCGCTGCATGCGCCCCCGCCCCAGGCTGGGCGCCTGCCGCAGCGGCGGCAGGGGCAGGCTCAGCAGCTGCTGGCGGGGCGCCCGAGGCCTCGCAGGCGGCAACATCCTGCTGGAGTGCGGCGATGAGGGACTTGAGCGGGCCAGCCAGCTCGCCAAGCTCGACGCCGCCGAGGGCACCTGAGACAGCGCCAACCAGGTCCCTGCACTTGGTGACGTCAGCGACGCAGCGGTCCTCGGCACGCGGCACCGCCGCGACAGGCGGCTCAGCCAGGACCCGCCTGGCCTTCTCGGCGAGCTCGTCCAACTCCACCTGCAGCTTCGCGACGTGCTTCTCCTGGTCGAACGCCGCTTGCAGCGCTGCCTGGGCCGCCTTCTTCTTGCGCTCCAGCTCGCCGCGGGCCCGCAGGAGACGTTTGGAAGCCTCGTCGGCCGCCACCTGCGCACTCCTGACAGGTCTGACCGCAGAAAGCGATCCCAGCTGCTGCTGGATGAGGAAGCGCTGCTGACGAATGGCTTGCCAGTCCGCCTCCGCGATGAGCTCCTTGCACGCATCGAGCTGGTCGGCGGGACAGGCCACGAAGTAGGCACGCTTCTCGTCAGTGAGCCGCTTCGGCTTGGGAGGCTGCTGCCCTTTGCCTCCCCCAGCCGCCTGCTCGGCATGGCGCCACGGAGCCTTGGGCGGTCCCTCGGCCCAGCGACCGAGACGAGGCCAGCCGCCGTCACCAGCATCACGAGGCAGAGGAGCACCGTTGGCCGTCGGGCGGTACGCGCAGCAGTCTGGCTGCCGGCACTGCGTCCTCCACCCGAGGTTCTTGCAGCAGCACGATGGGCAGCGCCAGCCAGTGCCCACCGCGAGGAGGAGGCGCCATGCCGCCCACGCGCGTGCCACTGCAAGCTCAGAACTTTGAAAATCGCTTGGGCTCAAAGCGCGAACCCCCTCGCGCTCAGAAGCCGCCCCGTGGGACTCGCGGTCGTCGGGATGGTTCATAGCCTTGAGCCAAAATGGCTACGGAGAGGAGGAGGAGGAGGAGGAGGAGGAGGAGCGAGGAGGAGGAGGAGCGAGGGGGAGGGGAGGAGGAGGAGGAGGAGGAGGAGGAGGAGGAGGAGGGGGAGGAGGAAGGGGGAGGAGGCGGGGGAGGAGGACGGGGAGGAGGAAGAGGAGGAGGAGAGAGGAGGAGGAAAGAGGAGAGGAGCAGGAGAGCAGGAGGAGGAGGAGGAGGCGGAGGATGGGGAGGAGGAGAGGAGGAGGAGGAGAGGAGGAGGAGGAGGAGGAAGAGGAGAGGAAGACGAGGAGGAGGAGAAGAGGAGGAGGAGGAGGGAGGAGGAGGTGGAGGAGGAAGAGGAGGAGGGAGAGGAGCAGGGAGAGCGAGGAGGGGGGAGGAGGGGAAAGAGGAGGACGAGGACGAGACGAGGAACCTAGGACGAGGACAAGGACGAGGAACGAGGAGGAGGAGGAGGACGAGGAAGTGAGGGGGAGCAGGGGAGCAGGTGAGGAGGAGGAGGAGGAGGAGGAGGAGGTGGAGAAGGAGGAGGAGGAAAGAGGAGGAGGAAGAGGAGGAGGGGGAGGAGAAGGAGAGGAGAGGACGAGGAGGAGGACGAGGACGCGGCGGAGGAGCGCAGGAAGAGGACGAGGAGGAGGAGGAGTGAGGAGGAGGAGGCGGACGAGGAGGAGTGGAGGAGGAGGAGGAGGAGGAGGAGGAGGAAGGGGAGGAGGAGAAGGGGGGGAGGGAGAGGGGGGGAGGAGAAGAAGGAGAAGGAGAAGGAGAGGGGTTCTCGCCCGATGCCCGCCCGTGAGCGCCTCGTGGCCGACTAGTGAGCCGGTTGGGTTCCCTGGGTTTTCGTGTGAGGAGGAGGAGGAGGGGGAGGAGGAGGAGGAGGAGGAGGAGGAGGAGGAGGAGGAGGAGGAATGGAGGAGGAGCGGAGGAAGGAGGAGGGGGGGAGGAGAGGGGGCGGAGGAGGAGGGGAGGAGGAGGGAGGAGGAGAAGAGGATGCAGGAGAGGAGGTAGGACAAGGAGGAGGAGGAGGAGGCGGGTGGAGGAGGAGGAGGAGGAGGAGGAGGGAGAGGAGAGGAAGAGGACGAGCGAGAGGAGGAGGAGGAGGAGGAGGAGAAGAAGGAGGAGAGGAGGAGGAAGGAGGAAGTGGGAGGAGGCGAAGGGGGGGAGTATGGGGGGGGAGGAGAAGAAAAGAGAAGGAGAAGGAGAAGGAGAGGGGTTCTCGCCCGATGCCCGCCCGTGAGCGCCTCGTGGCCGACTCGTGAGCAGAAAGAGAAGGAGAAGGAGAAGGAGAGGGGTTCTCGCCCGATGCCCGCCCGTGAGCGCCTCGTGGCCGACTCGTGAGCCGGTTGGGTTCCCTGGGTTTTCGTGTAGCGCCCGCTAGTGGGTTCTACGTGGGCGCCTCGCGCGTTGGCTGGTCTCTCCACATGCACACAGCTGGCAGCACTCAGATTGCCCCACTCAGCTGGCATCCTCCTCCTTCTCGTCCTCCTCTTCCTCCTCCTAGCTCACCCGCAGTCAGATCACTCAGCTGGCATCACACAGATTGCACCTCATAACTTGCAGCCCATAGACTGCACCAAATAGACCAACACGCACAAACACACACGTGCACGCACACACACACACACACACACACTCACACACACACACACACATACATACATACATACATCCATACAGGCATGCGTGCATACACTTATACATACATACGTACATGCGTACATGCATGCATACCTATAATAGACATACATAGACATGCATGCATGCATGCATCCATGCATGAATCATGCATGCATGCATGCATACATACATACAAATATCACATGCCCGAGTACCCGGGGCCGGCCCCAGGCCGAGACCCCCTCGCGAATTTCCTCCCCACCGCTCGGCATTGGAGATCTGAACCTACGACCAACAGGCCCCGAAGGAGCTCCAAAAGAAGGCTCTAAGATTCCCCCCGAGGGCCCAAGGAGGCCAAAATTGCTCCATTCCTGTAGGAAAACTTACATTGTTGATGCATATTCGCTTTGGGGCCTTTCCCAGCATCCAAGACGGCCCAAGAGGACCCCATGACTGCTCAAGAGAGCCCCAAGACGGTCCAAGAGGCTCCGAAGAGGGATCCAAGAGGGGGAATTCGAGCTGAAATTTCAGCAGGCTTCAAGAGGCCCTCGAAGAGGTCCCAAGAGGGCCCCAAGAGACCCCGCGAAGCTTCAATACTCGCTCCACGAGGCGCCCGAGAAGCATGCCAAGACCTCGAATTATACGTATGCAGGAATCCTATGGCGCAAATTTCAGGCATTGTGGGGGCATGGGCCGAAGGCCATAGATAAGCAGACCATTGCCTTGTCGACGGACCCATCCCTAGGCAGTCACATGTAGCGCAGGGTGCGGCCCTAACTTCATATACTGTGCGCCGCGGGACAGCTGATAGCGGGCTGCTGCAGAGCAAGCATACATAAGCGCGATGACTTCCGTGCGGGGCACGATCAGCTTGAAGGGGGTGCTGAATAATCCGGGTACCTTCGCGCGAACCCGCCCACTCAGGCCGCAGGTGGAGCTCCTTGTGGGGCACGACCCGTGTGAGGCGTGCCACCGTGGGCGGGCGATGCCATGCGAAAATGCCCATTGGTGCCGTAGGTGGAGCTCGCTCCAGAGCACGCTTCACGTGAATTGAGTGCCAACATGGGCGGAGGGACGATTTGCAAACCTTGTCTCTGGGGCTGTGGGTGGTGTTCCCTGCGGGGTGCGTTCCGCGTGAGAGGTGTGACGCAATGGGCGGGGGGGACGTTATGTGAACCTTGTCTCTGGGGCCGTCGGGGGAGCTCCGTGTGGGTCACGATCAGTGTGAGTTGTGTGCCGAAGTAGGCGGGAGGGCGGGATGCGAACCGTGTCTCTGGGGCCTTAGCTGCAACTCTCTTCGCGGCGCGATCCGTGTGAGAGGTGTACTGACGTGAGCCAGGCGACGTTACGCGAGGCTTCCCTCCAAGTGCAGTTCCATGCGGGGCAGCACGATCCGCGTGAGGGGCGTGTTGTAATGCGATGTGGTTGCAGGTAGAGCGCCCTATGGGGCACGATCCCTTTGGGGTGTGTGCTATATAGATAACGTAACGTGCAAATGTATACATACATGCATACATGCATACATGCATGCATACATAAATGCATGCATGCATACATACAGACAGACCTGCATGCACACAGACGTACATACATTCATGCATGCATGCATACATCCACTTGTATGTGTAATATATATATATGTATAAAAGCACATGTGTATATACATGTATGTGTAGTGATATGTAGAGCTATATGTATAGCTATATATATATGTGTTATGTATATACATGGATGTATAGCTGTACGAGCACTGAATACGAGTATATACATACATATATATATATATATATATATATGTGTGTGTGACGGATCTGCCTCGATTTGGGGCCCGGCGGGCCAGTTGAATCCGGAGTGCCAGGAGGGCCCGAGACGGCAACAGTGCCCCAAGAGGGCCCCAAGACGTGTCGGGCCAGGAGGGCTCCAATAGGCATTTCAGACGGTCCAAGGGGGCCCCGCGCCGCCAAGCGACCATCGGTCCAAAATACTCCAGATGGCCCCCCGACAGCCCAAAAGGCCCTCAAGAGCCCGCCCAAGAGAGCTCCAAGAGGCAAGCATCACTTCAGTCTTTTTAGGTTGGCATGCATGTTCAGCATTTGCGATTGTTCGGCCTTCACGGCGTCCAAGACGGCCCAAGGGCATCCCAGATCATCCCAAGACGGCTCAAGACGCCCACAAGAGGGCCCCAAGACTGGCCAAGAGGGCTCTAAGAGGCTTTCAGACGGCCCGAGAGGGCCCATGTTTAACATATGCGATGTTTCGACTTCACGTTGTGTAAGACGCCGCAAGGGCCGAACGGATCATCCCAAGACGGCCCAAGAGGCCCCCAAGAAGCCCCCTGACGCTCCACGAGGACCCCAAAACGGCCCAAGGAGCCCCCAAGAGGGCCCCAATAGGGATCCGAGAGAGGATTCGAGTTGAGATTCTCATGCCAGATCCGTCCCGTCCCAATCATACCCCGAACCGACGAGCCAGTCAGTACGGCGACGGTCCGAGAGAGAGAGGTAATAACAGAAAGAGAAATCAACGTGCATATATATATATATATATATATATATATATGGAACTAGATTTATATATGTACAATGTAAACACATGTATACATACACGTACAGCATACGTACGTACATACTTGCACACATACATACATACATACATACGTACGTACGTACGTACGTACGTACATACGTACATACGTGCATACGTACATACGTGCGCACGTACGCACGTGCGTGCGTGCGTGCTTGCGTGTATCACGACGGTCCAAAAGAAGGCCCCAGTTCTGCCCACGATGGTTCCAATGGGACCCAAGATACATCCAAGAGGACCCAAGGACTGCCCAAAATTGCCAAATGTGGGTTCAAGATTGCCCCGAAGGCCCCTCTTGGGGACCATCTTGGAGGCGGTCGGTCAAAAGAGGGGGGAGGTCCCCGATGTTCGCCCCCCCCTCGGGGGCCACGATCCTCGTGAGGGGTGTCAAAAATGGGCCCTCCCACTGGCCGAAAAAGGAGCCTTTGACACCTCGCGAAACCTCCAAAAAAAATCTCAGGGAGGGGAGGGGAAGGGTTCCCCTCCCCGAATGGAAGAGGGGTTATGGAAAAAAGAAGAGATCACCCT